AAACCATTAATGTCTTTATTGAACAGCAGAGGTCCCAAAAGAGAACCTTGTGGAACACCAGACATGACAATAAATTGCGACAAAGAAACTTCATAACGGCAAACATAACGGATTTCGATCTTTAGATGACTACGAGACCAGTCAACATAAACAGTATACAAATCAATACTACTAATCTTATCTAAAAGCCAGGAATGCAAAGGAAACTCAAAAAGCACGTATGAGCTCAAAGTGAATGAACTCGAACTGTCCTTGAGAATACAGTGGGAGGAACGTGTCGAAAATAACGACCAAACGTGTAGTAGTTGATTTGGGTTTAGCACAACCACGCTGAGAAATACACAGTATTTAACACGGATTTAAACTGATGCGAAATATGCCCATGAATGGCATATTCAAGTATTTAAAGACACTAAGAATGTCAATGAACCAATGACTTACGGATGCTCTGTTGCCTTTCGTAAAGACCCGAAAGTCATTGCTCTTTCCATGCAACAAGGTATACACGTGTGGAAAAATTAGATTAGAAATAAACTCCAGTAACGGGACAGAGATGTCAGAGTAATATTTTACAGGGCGTTCAATCAAGGAGGAAACTTCGCAACGCCGCTGACCGGTCCCACTATTCCTCACAGATTGCTGCTGTAACTTTAAATGTAACGGCGCGCGTTTATCAGCTCTAATGACTCATTCTGCTATCAGAAGTTACAGCAGCAATCTGAGAGCAATTCTGGGCCGGGTCAGCGGTGTTGCGAAGTTTCCTCCTTAACTGAACGCACTGTACTACTAGTATAAACCCAGCGATACCAACCAGTCAGACAGATTTTCGGGCAGCAACAGCTCGATGCTTCAGCAAATATCTTCATCACTCACAGAAGCTACAGCTAGAGCAAGGCTGCACTGTAAGAGCGCGGGATACAGAAGAGGAATTATTATAAAGGAACAGCAAATCATTTGATTCACAGGGGCTCTCTTGGAGGCGTAATTTCTTGTCGTGTTCGCACACTGCTGGTGTGCTACTTCGCCATATCTTACAATTGTTTCTTCTACAAGTTTCGACCTTAAAAGATCATGATCAAGTAGATTATGTAAGTAGTTATTGCACTGTGTTGTTTTCTAGTTCTTTTTTTAAAATTCCGTTAAGAACTTGTTTAAAATTACGACAATATTGTGGCTGAATTTAATTAACATAAATTACAAACTTTAAATACTTTTTATCTTTAAATTTCTGTCTTATGTTTCTGGATGGCCACTATTTATTGTTGCTGCGTTAACTGTTATGTTGTGCAAGAATGTTGTTCATACTGACTATAAATGCTTAGAAAATGCATCCGAAATAGCATCTGGATGAGTAAGATGAGTACTGAGAACCTGAACTTGAGCAGTACTGCCCCTGTCGTCGTAAATTTCGGGACATAATTCCGAAACTGTTTCGACTGGTGTTTAATGTCCTGATATCTTGATTTAAGCCATATACGTAATCATTGCAGTATTAACACAAACGGTATCTGAGCCGCCGCAACTGTAGAATTTCTAGCGTCAACGATTAGTGTTTTTATACTTGCTCATATCTGAGGAGGGGTTTCAGTTTTCACCTGCAGTTTCGATACAAGGCAGCAGCGCATAACAATGCCAGCCATTGACATGCAAGTTCCATTCCAGACTCCTGTCTATTAAGAGTCTTTCTCATCCTGTCTGTACGCTGTGTCCCCTGCACTTCACTGCCACGAGCACAGACATTCTCGTAGAAGATTAATTCTGACGGCAATTTCTCAAGTTGTTATCGATTTTGTTGTAAAACTTTATCGCGTGTATCCTGCAAGCTAAGTAGGGTTACCGGTTCTGATGCAAACTGAAGATGCACATTGAGCTCATTGGTTCTGTCGTTCAACCCCCTCCTCCCAATACATTAGATGTCTACATTACGTAGAGCAGCAGACACAAATAGAGACTTCGCAAGTTATCTCTCTCTACCCATGACATTCAATGCAACTTGTTAGGCTTCTGAAGGAAAGCTAATATTTATACTCGCATCTCAGGATACTTAATGGCACATTATCAGATACAGTAGTCACAACGCCGAGTAAGAAATCTACTGAGAATGACGAGTTTAGAACGATCTGAAAGAAAGTGTTCACGCCCTAAAGCAAAATACTCGTGATATAGTTAATATCTGTCTTACAATCATTCACATAAAGAGCAGCTTGGCTAGCCATAACAGACAACACATCATTACCGATTGGGTCACATTTACAAATCAAAGAGTATAATTAGCTTTTGAAAACCAACAGAGATGAATTGTTTCCTTGGAAATATAACAAAGATAAAGCCATTTAAATACGAGGCGTTTAGAACCAATGTTTATAGCAATGTGATATTGTGGCATGTAGACCCGTTGCTAGGCAAATACCGCGAAATAAGCAACTATACAACAGCCGTTGCTAGGGAACGGCTTCGCAAACAAGAATGCTTCCATGACCACAGGATAACACAGCGGTGTTTCCTACTTGGTACGTGTCAAGATCTTACAAGCAGGACCGGTCAGATGAAAAAATCTCTGGTAGTGAGAGGACTATGACCACAAGGTTCCAGTTGCAAAACAAGAAATCTCTGGTCGTGAACCTCCAGGGACTTGGCGCCAAGACATACTTATTAGCGGTAAAGCGCTAGTCGTAAAGTAACTCTCTTTCTAGATCGTCTCTGAACTACAAGTTCACAGCAGTCGCAACGGCGTTTCAGCAGATCATGACACAGCTCAGTGGGGCAGTCTGAAGAAGACAGAACAGTGGACATCACAAAAACTGTATTACAACTCATGAAGCAAAATAGCCACTTGGGTTCCTAAGTGGTAAATACGACTTCGCTGGTGAGGATCAGCAGCAATTGTAAACAACAGACCCGTCCTCTCGTCAGAGATGGCGCAACATATCAAGAAACCAGCAAGTGTCTGACAATGACAGAAATCTGGTCTTGTGGCCCAGATGGGTGCATGGCATCAAGATAGACTGGCATACTGACCGTCGGTCGTAACATATCGAATTAGAGGGCTTCTGGGGCTCAGTCCGTGTGAGCTGCTGCTGTTAGGAGCTGGTAGCTGAGGCCGGGGACGGCTAGGGAATCCAGAGGAAGGGGAAGGTATGCTGTTGGAAGCCGCTACCAAGCAACTGCAATGATGACGCGATTGTGGCACTGGTGTGTATGTGCGTGTAACAGTAAATTGGAAAATGCAGTGATGCGCTTTCCCAGAGAGTCCAATAAATCCGTCATCAATCCAAAACCCGTCTATAGTAACTCCTTACACGTGGAAATATCAAATATCTATAGCCTGGGGACGCGAGACTACGTATGGAAAAAAAAAGTGTTATATTTATCGTGATGACTACGTCATACGCAATCAGGAGAGTGAGTAGCTGATTGGTCAATACATAAATTAGAGAGCATTTAAAATTCAGAATTGAACCAATCAGAGCAAAAGAAGGGGGTCAAATTTTAAAAACAGAATAGTTTTAAAATTTGGAAGAGTCTTGAACGCTTGGCATTAAAATGCTTGGGCGTCGTCCTTCAAAGAGGAAGGACATATAAATTGATTTTTCGAAAAAAAAACAGTGCAGGCCCCCTGTATGGGAAACATGGTGAAAATATTATTTTAGTAAACACTCTGGTGCAAGTTCTGAAATGAATACAGTGTGAAATATTTGTATTTGTGAAAATTTTAATTAAAAATTTCCGATCACAGAGGCCGAGTGGTCTGAGGCATGAACTGTCTTTGCCCGCTAGAACACTGTGGTCGTGGGTTGGAATCCCACCCGAGGCATGGATCCTGTGTGCGTTTATTCTGTGTATGTGTTGTCCTGTGTTTAGGTAGAGGCCTTGCAACGGGCTGATACCACGTCCAAGGAATCCTACCGACTGTGTATAGATCAAGAAACTAAAAAAGCGGCCAAGGCTCAACAAGGGGCTGTATAGTCATAAGAGAACCGAATAATTAAAAAATTAAATTTTGAATAGTGACAAATGAAGTGTGATATTTAAGTGTTAAAAAACAGAGTTGCCTGCTTGAGCAAGACCCGAAACGTCCTGACAGAAGACCACTGCTCAGTCGCATAACAGGAGCTAGTAATTAAAGCGAACCCATGAAAAGCAGCAGTCCCAGCGCCCACTACACAGATTGCAGAGCGGCAGGAGCCTGGCGAAGAACACGTACAGTCATACCAGATGAGATAACACATGACAGAGAATGAAACTCGGAAAATCCGAAAGAAAACATTAATTCTGATTACTACATTGTACGGTTGAATGATCTATTTACCGATGCTGTAAATGTCTCAGATTATCCAGTGTCGAATGGCGGGATTTATGGTGAACAATAAATTACGTATAGAATGGACATAGAACGAAGAGTTTGTGGCCTGTTTGAGGTACTATTCAAGAACATTCCTGGACGGACTTAGCAAACCCCAGAAACTATCAAATAGGTTTTCGGATTTTTTTCCTTGGCACTATAGCCCCAGTGGGCTTAGGCCTACCTCTATGAACTTCTCCGTTCACTTCGGTTTTTCTAGATCTTACACATTCGGTAGGACTCCTTGGGAGGGTGATCAGTTCGTCGCAAGGCCTCTACCTGTATACAAACACAGAAAAACGCACACACACACAAACTAAACTTCCATGCCCTGAGTGGGATTCGAACCCACGATCCCGGTTTCCAAGCGAGCGAAGACAGTACATGACTTAGACCGCTCGGCTACCGTGACCGGCAGGTTTTCGGTTTACTGATCTATTTTCGAACCGTGTCCTTGCAGAAAACTAATTACAAGCTTCACCGCTTAAGCCAGCTTGCTCCGTCGTTCGGTAGAACAACGTAATATTGGAGTGGAAGAGTAGGCCATGTGCATACCGGAATCGCGAATTCGAATCCAGCTCGGGGCATAGTATATGATATGACCTTGAAGCACCGACCGCGAAGTCGTGTAAGTGTATACTGTAGAGCTGATACTCACAGTCCACGCTTATTTTGATTCTCTTGCTGACGGTGGGCGGGACGCCGTTCGAGGCGATACACAGGTAGGCGCCCATATCGAGGCGACTGATGCGTGTCAGCTCCAGCACCTCCCCTTCCCACTCCGACACTGCAAAGAATCATTAGACAACATGAAGCGTGAAGGAGATGTTACAAACGGCAAGACAGAACTGTTCGCTAGTGGGACTTATGTGAACACATGCGATTGCTTCTAACAGGGCAGAACTGGATGTATTATACACTTATTTATATCTATAGTTACAGAACGTATAATGTAGCATACACCGATGAAGAGATGGCAGTTGCCCTAGTATTTGCCAAAAGCCGTAAGGTGAAAAGGGCGACGCTATCCCTGTAACAGGCCGTGAAGGCCCATAGGTTTGAGACGTCGATGCTCCCACATTGTCTAGAAAATCGGCTCACAGATGGCGATAAGTTCGTTTGCCTTACGCGCCAGCTATCGTTTACCCCCAGGAATATTCTTGGTAGTCATTTCTATTAGAGGCTGAGTCAACTCTGGGACAACAGCGTGGCTGGAAGGATTAAGTAAACTTAAAAATCCAATGACCACACCGGGAATCGAACCCGCTACTTTCCGGCTTGTAGCACAGTGTCTAAGCCAACTAGGCTACCGCTCCGTAAATCTGATAGTTAACAGTAAGCTTCGCCCTTCAAAAGAAAACCGAGAGTGACAGCGCCAGCAAGTATGCTTTTGCAAATAGAGGTTTTATATTACATAATTAATATTGATGTCGAAGGGAAGGAAATTTTATTGTCGTGTAAGTTTGACATGCAAGGAATCGATAATCACTGGAAGGAGAAGCAGGTATATTCCAGATCCACAACGACCTACTCCAATTTGAACAAGGGCATGAAAATGGAGACAAAATTAAATATAAATTATCCATTCAGTGCTTCAATTCCTAGGCTAGATGTAGGTGAGAAATTTATCAGAATACAAAACCAGTAGGAATTTAATTTTATTTCGCAAACCCTCTGAAGTACAATGGTTTACATACACACGCGGACACAAGAACAACAGTGCTCTTACTGGATCTGGCAGTGTCATAACAAGTTCTGTAAGTTATTACTTCAATTGTGTGATCTAGGTTTTAATTTGCTAAACCATTCACTAACCAATAGAAAGACATATATGGTTGTCAGAAAGATAGTCCCATTCCTCCTAAACAGAGAAGAAACTACCAGTAGACTCCGACAATGAATCCACGTTAAGATATGAAGATATCAAATTTTCTAACCTCAGAGAGAACTTACTGAATCTACTACTGCCGCACCCTAAGTTTCTGTCTTGCGGGGAATAGGGAAATGCGCTCGCTATCTTACAAACACACACACCATGAGAAGGAATTACTAAATAACTATCATTAAACTTTTATTACTCGGAGGAGTCGGTAAATAAGTCCCAAATGGAAGTAGAACAGCTGTAATGGGCGCAATAAGTTTTCTATTTGTATCACTAGGTAGCAGCACAGTCCAGCTTCATGACAGTCAAGGTAGCAGCCGCGCATGCGCATGTTCTGAGGCTTGTTTCAGTTGACAAAATGGAGACAGTGATTGAGGGGTATAATACCGAAGAGCGGCGTGCTGTTGGGCGTCCTTTGTGGGCAAAGGGACTCAATACAAAGGATATTCGTAGAGAAATGTGACTTGTTACCAGTGGGAAGTGTTTGTCGCGTAAAGCGTTTCACAACTGGGTGGTCAAACGTTTCGCTAATGAGGAAAAGTTTGAAATGGAAATACAGAAGTGGCTGAGACAACAGTCAAAAGCCTTCTATGCTGCGGGTGGCGCACTGGTACGGCGACGGGACACGTGTATCAATGTTGGTGAAGAATTGTCGAGAAATAATAGATTTCCAGCTTCGAATATCACATGCTTTTATGTTCTATATCCGTGTGTGACCTATTTACAGACTATCCCTCGTAGTATACCGAAGAGAGATGTAGTGGTAGCAGAAAACTGCAGAATGACCAGCTTCATAGCCTGTACTGTTCGCCAAGTATAATTGAAATGTTCAGGTCAAGGAGCATGAGAGGAGCAAGACACGTAGCACGGATGGGGAGAAGATGAATGCATATAAGATTTTGGTGGGAAAGTCTGAAGGAAAGCGACCACTAGAAAAACATAGACGTAAGTGGGAGGATAATATTAAAATGGATCTTAGAGAGGTAGGATAGGGTGGTATGGGCTGAACTGATCTGCCTCAGGATAGGGACAAGTGGAGGGCTCTTGTGAACAGGGCAATGATCACTCGGATCTCACAAGTTATTCGGAAATGTTTTGAGTAGCTGAGCGACTGGCGGCTTCTCAAGAAAGACTCGGTTCCCCTGAGTTAGCTAGTTAAGTTCTTACTATACGAGTAAACTGAAGTACACATGACTGACTTCACGTCGACAGAGACAGGTCGTGTTACGAATTCCAAACAAACGGTGTGTTTGGAACTTGCTGTTGGCTACAGTGGACGAACCATACCTGAGAGCGACTTGTTGATGGCTATCTTGCTTCCGTCGTCCCTCTTCCACTTAACGCTCGGTGGTGGAGACCCCGTGGCGTGACACGTGAGTGTGACGTTGGAACCCTCCCGCACAATCACGTCAGAACTGCTCTGCGAGTCGTCGATGTTGGGCGGCACTGCAACCGAACATATCCGTTAGTGAGAGGAGAGCTTCTTCCGGCTCCTCTGATGGCGGTGAGGGAGGTGGAAACCTAATTTCCATTAATTCCACTTAACAGTATTTAGAGCGTGATATTAGTTATGAATGTGTTGACATACAGCAGCAATTACTTAAGTTGAAATCCATACGTGGAGCAATTATTACAGGGTCTGAAATTCAAACGAGAAATGACGCATATTTGAACATTGTACTCAATCAGAATCGTTGGTTATTTGACGATGTTTTCGGTATCGACACTATTTTGAACTGAATGATAGATTAATTAATGTTTGCAGAACTGGAAAAAATTAGAATGAAGGGGTTATGGAATAATAGAGGTACTATCCTGGCTCTTGTCTGGAGGGGTCGAGAAATTCTAAAACCTAATCATAAAAACCGATGTCTTAGCTGAGATTCGAACCGAATACCTCACGAATATAAGTCTACAGGCTTACATCTAGATCAGTCTGTTCGGCAGAACAGAATTAAAAAATAAAAGCAGATAGGGTAAACACATGGAGTTCTTTTTATTTAAACTGAAAGACTACAAATTTAGAAATTGAAATGAACAAATCAAAACTATTACAAAGAGGCAAGAGGGCAGCATCTGTCTGAATGACGATAGAGAAGTAAAAGGAAGATAATCGTGAAAAATGCAAGTGAGAGAATGCTAATAGGATAACCGAAAATTCTTTAAAAGTAGAATAAGAGGAAGAGGAAGAGGAGGAGGAAGAAGAAGAAGAAGAAGAAGAAGAAGTAGAAGTAGAGGACAAAGACAGAAAATTTCAAAGCTGTTGAAAAACACGAGTTATTGTAATCTTCCAACTTAGTGTAACGATCAGTTTCTATCTGTAATTTCGTCATATTATCAGTGTTTCTTGATATACTTCCAAACAGCATTTCGTACTGTAACATTTCCGAATCCATCAGTGACAAATAAAGCGAAGTCCAGAGAACGCGCCCTGTCGCCCCGTCGTAATTTCCAAACCGCAATGAAATTAGATCAATATCACTTACATTTATCATGGTTTATGATCGCAGAATGCTGGAAGTTACTACACTCGTTCCCAACTAAGACGCCATGTTGGGATTATGTTCAGAACGTACAGAACTGGTTGGGCTGCTTAAGCGAAGCTTCATGAAAACTGGTCATTTAGTCCAAATGTCAGCAAGCAGGGCAATCACATGCGAGTACACACAGATGGCATCAACATAAGCCAGTAATTTACCACCATGTGGGCTGCAACCCAAGTGTGATTTTGTTAGCTTGGCACCGTACCCAGAATTTAGTAAGATTATTTTTAATTTACGCTGTTGAGGTGTGACCCACAATCGCACAAACAGATACACACTATGGTGGTGACGTAAGGTTCCCTTTGTCGTTAATGAAAGACGGCACTGGTTAGCTAATAATCTTAAGAGATATTGGGTTTGAGGTTATTGCAGTGGTGACGATGGAGAGCGCCACATTCCGGAATGTGACGGGGTCACAAAAGTCTATTACGTTATACGGTGTCATATCCCAGACAATAGTGGTCTTCAGGTTAGGAAATATATGCATGGTTCCACTATTCTGGCATGTTCGCTTTCATTTGTTTAACTGCCCCGAAAATTGTAAAACTAACGGGAAAAATGTACAGGGCATAAATGTGTGTGTTTTTTTTTGTAGTGTTAGTTTAAAATGCTTCTTTCTGCGATAAACATATAGCAAGTTAAGTTGACGAGGAATTCAGAGAAGCAGGTGTAGTATTTTTTGTCCGAATTAACCTAAACAAGAACATATCGACGGATTCTAGCAAAAGTCGACAATATCAATTTATTACAAATACTTTAAAATATTCTCCAGACGTTACGTGCCGGAGTACAGAAAAACACCAAACAAATAACAGATGCAAGTTTGAAACTTCCCGTTTCGAACACAACAAAATAACCATATCCAAAAAGCACTAAAGGTTTTCAAAACAATTAAAATGTGGAATCAATAACAATGATGTCGAAGTTTGGAACCTTTATTTAAAATTGAAAGGGATTAGGGTGACCAACAAATAGGGGTACAAATATTGTGTTTTTGGACATTACCCACCGTCATGTTTTTGTTTAAAACACAACGTTTCAGAGACCGGATTCTGCCTCCGTCTTCAGGTAAAACCTACTCAGTTAGGCCCATGCGATAGAGCTAGTCCGAAACATTTTGATTTGAAAAATAAACAGAACGGTTTTTAGACAAAGACAAGGCGATGGATAATGTCCCAAAACATAATATTTGTATTAATGTGCCATCGTCACAAGCCTTTAGATCTTATTAACGAATAGGGGATTTATCCCACATGTAAGAAATAAGGACCGCCTCTGTGGTCTAGTGGTCAGAGTTCCTGGCTACAGACCCAGAGGTGCCGGCTTCGATTCCTGGCGCTACAAGATTTTCTGAGAAGTAGTGCGTCTGGAACGGGGTCCACTCAGCCTCGTGAGGATAACTGAGGAGCTCCGGTCTAGAAAACCGGAGATTATCGGCCTTGGGAATCCACTGCGCTGACCACGCGACACCCTGTATCCACTAAAGCTGGCGCTAATTTCGCCGACAAGCGGCGGTCGCTCGGTCGGTATATTTCGCTTGCGGACTAAAGGCCCGGAGTAAGAAATAAGAGGACTGGAGCCAGACACTGAGGTGCAATATGAAGAAATGAAGACTTGGAGAGGCGAGATTTTGAACAAGAGGTTTAAGAATATTGATACAGAAATGAGCATTAGTATGATACAAGTCTGTAAGAATAATCAGCAACGGCGAAAAACTTGGATGTGATTAAATGTGAAGGGAGATGAGACAGGATGGCAAGAAGTGACAGTGAATTAGAAATAAACTAACAGGGATAGTACGTAATTAATATGGGTAGTAATTGGATAGTGGAAATTAAAATGTTTTTAGGATGGGAATTGTAATTTAACTGGGAGGCTGGAATGTGGGAGCAGCGAATGAAATTGCGGCATCCCAAAATATAAATCGCAGCTCACCTAATGAAGTACAAGTAAATATTAAAGAGTTATGCTGTTAAGAATCTATATTAACTATTAGAAACCTTCTTTTACATATAAATTATAATAAACATAACATCTTTCAAATATAAATTTTCACACATGCACGGAGTAGCGTATGAAGACAAAGCTCTGTTATCGCAGTTCGGATTTTACATCGTCTGGTGAAGTTACCTTCGTGGATAATATTTCCGGTTGCTACAGATATCCTTTCTGGTGGGACACTGGACTCCCTGATCGGAGAGATGAGTGTTCTGTATGAGGCTACCGATTAGTTTCCATGACGATCAGTGTAGGGACAGAAGAGCTACCCAGTAATTACTGGCTACTCACAGAAGCAGTCGTACCGACAGCATTACCACTTTTACCGTGGCGTACTGCACGGCACGTCCAACCTGCCTAATCACAACTTATCTTGTGAGGTGGCGAACGGGGGTGCAGCTACTGCTGATTTTCTGTTGATCGTTCAAATTGAGTAGTTGTTATTTATGTCTTTGTTCGGCCCCAAGAGTACGATCTTCAGGGTTGTGGCGCCGTGCATTATGGCAGAATATTACCGAAGTTTCTGGGGAAAGGACTGCTTCCGTCTCGAGATTCGAACTTTAAGCCTAAGCAACAAGAAGTGGTAGGCACAGCCTGCCTCTTGCTAGTTGCTTGCCTGGCCTATTCTTCGACCGTGAGGGAGGCGAAGGTTCAATCCTCCGAAACGTCTGAAACTTCTACTTGACTAAGCAGCATCATATACGCTTTATGGTCACCGTAATGAGATCCTGAAATCTGGGGACTGCTTTAGCAGTAGGGGGTCCAGAGGCACTTGGACAGGAAGGTTATGCGCTCCGTCCCAGCATCCGAAGAATAATAATTGAGAAGAAGAAGAAGAATGCCGCCTTCTGGGATGTGACGGCGTGTAGATCTTGTGTTAGCCGACGTTTCGGAGGAATTTATCGCCTCCATCTTCAGGGTATAAAAATCCGTGTGCGATGAACCAGCGTGAGTAGGTGTAGAAAAATATGGTTAAGAAGTATACAAGAACAATCCAACTACTTCTTTATTGCTTGTGGGGTGGGACTAAGTCCCTTGTACTGCGGCCACTTCTGGTCTATTGTACCAGCCCCAGATGATAGGTGAGGGTGATTGTGGAGCAATTGGTGGAATGAAGATTGGCAGGGAAAAACCGAAGTACTCGGAGAAAACCTGCCCCAGCGCCACTTTCCCCACCACAAATCCCACTTGACCAAACCCGGGATCGAACCCGGGCCGCCGCGGTGGGAAGCCAGCGACTAACCGCTTGAGCTATGGCGCGGCCATAATGCAACTAAATGAATATAAGTGGGACATTTTCTGGGATGTGTTGACATGTGGTCCGGTAGCAATTCACTGCTTTCACGGCACAATTTCACGACGTCACATCTCAAAAGTTACTGCTCATCAGTGTTAACTGTGAGAGCCTAAAATCGAACACAAACACATGTACTGTATAGATCTGCCCAAATACGTAAGAATCTATCTACAGCTCTACAGCCCTTTGTTGGACTTTTGCCGCTTTTCAGTTTCTTATCTCTTACACGGTCGTTAGGACTCCTTGGACGGGAGATCAGCCCGTCGCAATGTCATTACCTGCACACAGCACAGCAAGCAGAATAAACACACACAGATATCCATGCTCAAGTGGGATTCGTACCCATGATTCCAGTGTTTGAGATGGCGAAGACAGTTCCTACCTTGGATCGCGGCCACCGTGATCGGCATATGTAAGAATAAAACGCATAATTAGTATTTAATTGAAAATGGGACATCTCGAACTGTGTTTTATATGTTCGATAAGTGAAGAGACGACTTTTTAGGGCAAAATTTTGAAAAACAAAAACACTGAGGCCGTGCGAAGATGTTAATTTAACCATAAATTTGAAAACGATAACTAATTATTCTTCCCACTGCGAACATGAAACACGGC